CTGGGACAGAGGCAGTTTAGGTCCAGGCCCAGGCATGGTAGGAATGATAATTTTGAGGCAGGGTCCCACCCAGCTATCTTATTGTCTGTGATTGTGCTTGCTGTCTCTTTATAAGAATTAATGGGCTGAGGTTTATAAGAATTAAGGATGGTGATTCATGGGATAATCAAAAAGGGAATCTGGGGTAATGACTGAATTGATATGTAAATAAAAGACTGGGCTTTTGGTCTGCAAGTTATGAGCTATCCAGAGAGCTTTTAGGGGAAAAAAAAGTAGTTTGGAGCAGAGAACTCTCTGAAGATGAAGATCTCCACAGAAAGTGGAACACAGAGAGCTATCTAGAAAGCTGTCTCAAGCAGAAGGTCATCAGCTTGTAACCCACAATTTGACTTCCAGTTATTTGTTTCACTGCTCCCAAACACCCCTTCCTCAGAACCCTTCTCCAAGCCAAGGCTGGTTCTTGGCAGACTTCGTCCCTCATGCATAGGCGAAAGGATAAATGAGAGTTCTTGGCCAATGAAAACTCACTTTTCTGTTTAAGGCTGGAACTTTTGGTTGAGACTTCTTGAAATCCAGTATCTGACATTGTCTTTAAATGGTTGTCAGCTCCACCAACAAACTCTCATTTTTGACCTTTATGTACTTTAGATAATTGAGACTGTACCAGCTCAAATAATTCCCTTCAGCCAGCTGACTGTGACGTTTGTCCGTGACAGTGTTTACAAAAGGCAGAAGTTTCCTGTCAGTGATCCTCCTGGAGTCTATGATGCTATGAAGGATCCAGACCTTTCTTTCCTACCACACCCCTGATTACTTTATGAGAAATTACAGACTCGGGCCAAGTAGCTGGGTAGGAATCCAATCCACATCTGAAAACCCAGCTGCAACTAGTCTGTTAAGTGGCAGGAAGTGCTCTCCAAGAGATCGAAATATTCATGAGAGCCCCATTCCCAATACCGAACACTCATTCCTCCTGTTTCTTAGAAATAACAGCCTATCACTTTACAGAAATGTGACACTTCATCTACTCAGCCTAAAGTTGGTGCTTTGTGATTTACAGGATTATCATTCATTCACTCCGTCCATCATGTCTGTCTTTCCTATGCCATCCCCATCCCATTCTGTAGTCTGAATGTGTCTACCGAAATCATGTGGAACCCAGATTACCAACATGATAGATGGCATTACGACATGGGACTGTTGGAAAGGGATTAGGTCATAAAGGGAGCCCTTGCAGAGGACATTAGAGCCCTTATATAACAGGTCCCCAGAGAGCTGCCCTGCCCCTACTACAACATGAGGATGCCATGAGGACCCATACATGAACCAGATCCTGGGCCTCCATCAGACATTGAACATGCTTTTTTATCTTGATTGTGAACTTTCAGAATCTATAACTGTAAGAGAAAAACATCTTTTAAAAAATAAACTACCTAGTTCATGATATTTTGTCATAACAGGCTTCATGGACTCAGAAGTCATCTGATCATCAGATATACACTCACGTCTACTGAGAATCAGGTGCTTTGTTCAGTCACGGGAATAGGAATGGCAGTGAAAGATCAAAACAGTTTGGCCTCACTGGAGAAGGAAAGATAGTATAACTGTTTATAGCTTGGATGAGTATTCTCCAAAGACTACACATTAAAGGCTTGGTCCCTGGCCTGTGGTACTATTGGGAAATGGTAAAACCTTTAAGACTATTGAGAAATGGTAAAACATTTAAGAGGTGAGGCTACCGGCGTGCTACCTATCACTGGCAGTGTGCTCTTGGGAAATAGAGAACTGTATTCCTTCCTCTCTTTGGGTTCCTTGTTGGGACCAGAACTCTGTTCTTCATGTTCCCTAGTGTCAGCACAGCCACAAAAGCAAAGGCCAGACATAGACTGAAATCTATGGAAGTGGGAGGCAAAACAAACCTTGTTCTTTCTAATACGATCACCCTGGATACTTTGTTACAGTAGCTGATAGGGGACCAAATACATCAACTAAATACAAAGGCAATTGTCCGTAGTTCAATAACTCATACTTTAAAAACAAAAACCACAACAAAAAATTTCCTAGATTACTTACTGTGAAAGACACTAGAAACTGACAGATGTAGAAAGAAAGTGATAAGCAGGATATTCTAAGTATACATGGTTGGGTTGGGACAAAGGAACAGTACAGCTGTATTTGAGAAGAATATTAAAAAGATGAGTGTGAGAGGGCTGGAGAGATGGCTCATCAGTTAAGAGCACTGACTGCTCTTCCAGAGGTCCTGAGTTCAATTCCCAGCAACCACATGGTGGCTCACAACCATCTGTAATGGCATCCGATGCCCTCTTCTGGTGTGTCTGAAGTCAGCGACAGTGTACCCTCATACAGGAAATAGATAAATCTTTTTTTAAAATTATTAAAAATTAGTTGTATATTTATTAATATAATAAAATTAGTTATATATTTATTAATAAGCTCAGGCTGATATTAAAATAAGTGACTACAGAAGTGTGTAAATAAGTTTGAGAAGACACATTTCTGATGCATACAAGTCTGAAATAATTTATGAAGAAATCTTACCCTGAAGAAAATGAAATATATTCCTTTGTGTGTGTATATATGTGGTCCATGTATGTGTGTGTGTGTGTGTGTGTGTGTGTGCACATGCTCATGCATGTTTGTTCATGTAACGTAAGTACTGATTTCTACCCCTTACTTTCGACCTCTGAGACTCTCTGTTAGCCTCATTCCTTGATTGTTTTTGGAGATAGCCTCACTGTAATCCAGGCTGTTCTTGACTCCTTTGTGGCCTTGAATGATCTTTCTGCCTCCTGCTTGACTGCTAAGATTATAGTCATGTATCACCAACCGAGCCTCTGTCTGTTAATGTGAGCTGCAAATACTGACTTTCCTTTAAAAAGTACGGTAGGGAATTGAGGACAAAACAGTAGGGAGCCGGTGGAGAAAGCTGACACACACTGCCTCCACCAGGCAATGAAGGCTAAAATCGTGGTGATGAAGCAAGTTCCTGGATTATGAGAGGATGAATATGGCTTTTCTCTCTTTTCGTTCTTCCTCCAAAAGTCCTATAACATCATCTAACCACTAATGACGTATCTGAGATATATCAGTTGAAGGAAATTTAACACAGCACCTGTCAAGGTCTTAAAAAACAGAGGGTATCTGAAATACTGCTGCAGCCAAGAGCATAAATAAACAGGATCATTGAGCCCACTGTGGAATCCCAGGACAGAAAAAGACACTCCATAAGAATGAGAGAGATCTAAGGAGAGTATCCCATACGACCCTATATAACAGGACAGTAATGGTGGCAACTGGGTATGGGGCACACGGGGACTTTCTATGATAATGTCCCTTTTCTTTAAATTTGATTTTTTTTTAAGTTTTACATATATTAAAGGGAAAGAAAACACTCTTGAAATGGCAGACTTTCTGGCACTGGGGGGAACAGAATGGGAAAGATCCCACACTGCTTCCTAAGTTATTCCTTACAGGTACCACAGTTAGTGGAGCCCACAGATAACCTAGAATTCAAAGAACTCGTTCTACATATCCAGTAAATCTTTGCTTGCTACTGAACTGACTATGCTTGATTGACCAGCAGCGTCTATTGTTTGTATTTTGATGACTGAATGGGAACAACAGAGGAAAACTATTTTTTTAAAATGAACAATTTTACACCACAGTCACACTCCTATTAACGTGAGACTCAAGAACTCAGAGGAACACACAACCTTTAACTTTCTTTCTTTTTTCTTTTTTTTAGTTAGGCTTCCTCCAGATTCCAGCTTCGTTGCTGATTTTCATACTGATTACACTACCTCTCAACCCCCGAGTGTTCTCTTTGCTACAAGCTGGTATTTCAGAATGCATAAAGATTTCATTGTGAATCTTCAACTTCCTGGCTTGATATATACCTCTCCTTGAGTCAGCAGGCACCCTGTTTGAGCTCTGAGGGACAAATCCTCCTATCACTTTGGCCGTAGGCTAAGGGAGTCTGAGAAAAAGCTTTAGTGTTAGTGTTAAGACATTCATCAGGCAGAATAATTTAACTACTATAAGTACTGTGACTAGAACTTGAACGTCAACAATAACACATTTACCCCTCCCCCAAAGAAAAAAAAACAGAACAAAAGGTAACGGGGGTGGGGGAGTGTGTTTATCATCATCATCAACAACAATCACAACAAAGACTTCATGGGTTAAAAATCGATCGTAATTTTCTATTTTTTTTCCTAAAAAGTTACCGTGAAGAAAACAAAATCAAATTTCAAATCACATTAGCCCAGTATCCGCGCAAATCCTCTTTAAAAGCACCCAGTGAAACTGGCTTTGGGACGCCTCGTCAGCTACGCCAGCTGCCAGATCGCTCATTCATCCCCTGAGCCTTTCTAACAATCCTAACAGTCCTGCTGCCTGGACATCCCCCCGAGGACATGGCAGCTGGCTGGAGTGGACAGACAAGACTTCTCTAACTAGGTTTTGCAGGCGTAAAGGCGAAAAGCTACTGTGGCTCAGCGAACTTCCCCCACTATTGGCTCTAAAGTGCTCCACCAGCACCTTGCCTGGGCAGCTGGGACTGTGCCACTGATCCTTCAGCCACTGCTACTTAAGAATGGCCTTGGCCAACCCCGGATGCCATCTTTCTTGAGCTCTTCGCATCTTGAATACTTGGAGAGTTTTGCATTCTGATCACGTCCCTGTGTCTTTGAAAACTTCCTCCGACTTTGCAAGCAGAGGAGAATCGTCTATTTTGTCCAACTCCTAACTGCATAAAATCCAACACTATTTACAAGACACTCAGGACTTCAGTCTCCCCTCCCAGAGACTGCCCTCATCCAGATCACCCTTGGTGCTCTCAGACTGCAAAACCTGGTGCCCCGAGACAGACCCCTAGCCCTGAGCGCCATGCCTGAAGGCAAGGGTCGCGGAGGCTGGGATAGCGAGACGCGAGGGTGGGGAGGACTGGGTCGCGGGGTGGAGTTACCCCAGAGACTTACAGTCCAGGGCGACCATCAAGTAGTGCAGCAGCAGCAGCATCAGGAGGCCTTGGGGGCTCCTCGCCATCTACGCGGGCGCCAGCTGGCTGCCTAGCCGAGGGTCCCCCCCGCAGGAGCGCGACAGGCAGCCGAGTCCCCCAGCACTTCGCGTGGCGGCAGAGCAGAGGAGGTCCCTGAGAGGTGGAAGCAGAGGGGCGGGTCCTGTCGCGATGTCAGTCTCTTTGGTCAGGGGTGTCTCCACCAGCTGTCGTGGGGCAGGTCCTCTGGCCTTAGGACGTGGTGTCTGGAACGGTCCTTCTTTTGAAGGGTGGAAGTGGGTTGAGGGGAGGGCGTGGACGCGGGACGCGGTGTCCGCAGGGTCCTAAGCGAGGGGCGGCAGAGGACTGGCTTCTGGAGAGAGAGCCTTGCAGGTCCGCCCCTGTCCCCAGGCTGATCCGCTTTGTGTCTAGTCCCGCGCGCTGGGCTGCCAGCTGTCCCCAGGGCGAGGAACCGGGGGCGGGAGAAGCCAAGTGGGATGGGCAGGGTGGGGTGTGTGTGTGGGGGGGGAGTGGTGGTGGCTCGGTCTGTCTCGCCACGTCTCTTTCCTTCTCTTGGCGGAAAAAAAAAACTTCCTTTTCAGTGTTTTGCCCAGTGTGGGAGATTTTTGGAAATTTTCTACCTAGCGGACAAAACCGCTGGAAAAGCGCCCTTAAAGTATAGGGATGTGAGCTCAGCCCCTGACTCTAGAAAGGAGGTAAAACCACAGCTATCACACTGCTGCAAGTCAGGTCCCAGATTTTATTATCAGTCTTAGCCTCTTCTTGGTTCAAGTCCGTCCTCCACACCCCCCACTTAGAGAGTTAAGGTGTGTTCTGGGTTCTAGGCTTCCTCGTTGTCATCTGGAAGTTGGTCTAACGGTGTGAAATATTTATCTTGTTTCTTTCCCGTTATGTAACGGCCGCCTGTGGAGTTTTCCACATGTTAAAACTCTACAGCTGCCCTTTTGTCAGGTTTATTTTTGGTCTCCTGTGCTTTTAAAAGGGAAATCCATTATGAATGCTTCAGTACGTGCTTTAAAATTGACCCGCACTTCGGAAGCACGCACTTGTAAAGGCGATTTTCACTTTTCCTCTCCAGAACTGATGTCTGGGGCATTCAAGAAAATTGACCCGTCTGTGTAAAGGTCGTTTTTCAGGTGGAGACATTTTTTTTTAAAAAAAAAATATATATAGCTTTAAATAAGGCTAAATAATGAATAACGACGTATAGAGGATGGCTGATTTAGTGGTGGACCACTTACAAAGAATTGAGCCAGCCTTGCGGACAAAGGCTTAAGATATACTTAGATATGCAGAGCTGTGAGGAATGAGGCATCCTCACTGTTGCCCAGGCAACAGTGATGAGAGCTTTGTCCCCACGGGGAAGAGGAGGGGACAGAAGACCCCTGGGGGCAAGAAAAGCAAAGTAAAAACAAAACAAAAAAACAAAAACAAAACAAAAACAAAAAACGGCAAAAATGGAGCTGGTAGTCCAAACACACCAACAGAAAAGGTGTCATCTAACTTAAGAGTTATAGCCTGTGTTCTGAGGCAGGTTAAGTCAATTATCCTCGACAATCCAATTAAAAGAGCCATATTAGTAGTGAAAATTGGGGAGAGAGGGGGCGAGAGAGAGAGAGAGAGAGAGAGAGAGAGAGAGAGAGAGAGAGAGAGAGA